TTGATGTTGAAGATTGAGATGAAGTCGAGCTTGTATCAGTAGTAGTACTAGTACTCATAGTCGCAGTTGTAGTTATTGTAGATGTGCTTTGGCTTACTGTACTTGTCGTAGATGACCCAGTTGTAGTCATGGTTGACTCAGTGCTCGAAGAAGTACTTGCAGTGGAAATAATGGTTGTTGTCATCTCTTCGCAAGTTGCTGAAACTACGCTTGAAGGAGCACTATCACAAGCATTCGGAAAAGCATTCCTACAACTATTAATACAATTAAATCCATCGCAGGTTGCAACTTGTGTAGTACCTACAAACCGAGGATCACAATCTACTCCATCACAACACATACATGAACAAACACCATAAGCATTTGTTGTTTTTATATATACGGTAGCTACAAGACCGACGATTAGAAGAAAATATTTACTAAACATTTTTAGTTTATTCTAATGTATTGAAAGAGACAATGCAAAAAGTAACGTGTGTATGACATATATACTTGTTATCTGTTGTATGAATAACGGAAGATAAATAAAAACTAGAAAAAACGAGTTATTATCTTGTTCTATTTTTTTTGAGAAATAAACTGACAAAATATAAAAGAATAAAATCTATTTCTTATCCTAATAAACAAAATAACAATCCTTTTGATTCTTTCATCATAATTAACATGAACATTTATATTAAAATACAAAATCTTTTGCAAAGATCATGGAATTGAGATTATTTTCTGCCAGAAACTTTCGTATTTTTGACAAATAAAAGTATGTGAAGTCTTTTAAGATCTATCATTAGAGTTGGAAAAGTAAGTGTGAAGTATTTGATAAATGAAGTATGACTATAAGTTATTCAAGAATGTATTAAATTAAAATATTTTTTCTATTGAAATTTATTAGTTAGAGCTTTCGATTCAATTGTGAAATATGTTTTAATACTATAAAGGTCGATATCCTTTTCACTGAATGATCAATTTGATTAAACTGAATAGATTAATTTTTTATGTATCTCTTCACATTTATTCGGTATTTATTTTTTGAATCATGACTCTTAGCTTTAGAACAAAAGCCAATTACTTATAATAAATCTCTATATATAGCAAAGCATCTTAATCATACTAGAATAAACAATGGTTTCAAATAAATTGAATATTTCGTTTATACTAGCTTAATTCAAGTATATATTTATGTCTTCCAAACACAACTATCACTCTAAGAACAATTTATCGAACACCGATACTTAGGTTTTTATTTAAACCTAGCTAGATATACCATGTATTCCTTTATAATTATATTATCTATTCGTTCAATTGAATAATAATCATAATGCTATTCTTTAAATGTGTTTAACAGAGAAAAAGGTGTCTGTTATGATGTATGTACACACAATGTATGATAGTAACACATAACATAACCATTAAGAGTAGTTAGAATAACACATTATTCTGTACCAATGATAAATGTTTCACGTAAGTTCTTTTGTTTTTCTTGTGTTCAAATAAAAACATAGTTAAAAAGTATATATCAACTACAGTTTTAAAAATACTGTTGTTCAAATGTAAAAATAAATTAGTTAATTGTTTTAAAATATAATTTTTGTTACGAGAAGAAGTGATGATAAAAGTAAAGTAATAAATAATGAACTTTCTTGAACATTGAATGCACCACTATGTATCGTTGTTGTTGTCACGTCTTGGCAAGGTGTTGAAATTCCACCTGGACTAGAACTATCACAAGCAAGTGGAAAAGCATGTCTACAACTATTAATGCAATTCAATTCACCACAGCTTGGAACTTGTGTAGTACCTACAAGCCGGGGTTCACAACCTTGTCCATCACAGCACATACATGAACAAACACCATAAGCATTTGTTGTTTTTATATATACGATAGCTACAAGACCAACGATGAGAAGAAAATATTTACTAAACATTTTTAGTTTATTCTAATGTATTGAAAGAGACAATGCAAAAAGTAACGTGTGGATGACATATATATATAATATCAAATGTATACCTGTTATCTATTGTATGAATGACGGAAGATAAGTGAAAACTAGAAAAACGAGCTATGATCGTGTTTTATTTTTCTTAAGAAACATAATAACGATATACAAAAGAATAAAATCTATTTCTTATCTCAGTAAACAAAACGACAATCCTTTTGATTCTTTCAGCATAATTAGCACAAATATTTATATTAAAATGTAAGATTTTTCGTAAAGACTATAAAATTGATATAATGATCCGGTTAGAAACTATCATACTTTTTACAAATAAAGGTATGTAACGTCTTGTAAGATCTTTATGCATTGATAGTACGATAATATAATCTAAATTAACTACGCTTTGTGTACATATTAACAACCAATCCTTTTATCAAAAAAACTCAGTTCCTAAACATATAAAAGAAACGACTGAAGTCAGTTTTCTTGTTAATAAACATCTGTTACAAATTATGGTGAAAATTTAATGTAATTAAAGCATTTTAGTTAAAAATGACTTGAAAATGTATAAATATGATCATGTAATGAATATCGAGAAAAGAGTTTTTCCTTTATTATCATTAAATCTGATATATATTTGTATAATAAAAGTCAATAATTAATGTGTGAACACGGACGTTTACTGACGAGGCCACAACACAAATCTAAGTGTGAAATATTTATTATTATTATTATTTGTAAAAAGAAAAAGAAAAACCAAAGAAGAATGCTTATTTTCTTCTTTATATTAAAGGTATATATATATATGTATATAAAGTCATTGTCTAACATCTAGCAAGAACTTCTCCATTTTGAATATATAAATAAAGTCGTTGATCAATTGGTAATGAAACAGGTAATGAAACTTGTCGATGACGTGGTAATCTAGCACCTTGTGATTCTCGATATTGTATAGACGAATTTATTTTTGGCATTGTTCGAAAATATTCATTTGGTGATGCTGTTGAATAATGTTCAAGATAAGCTTTTTGTAATGTATCAACATGTTTTTGTTCATGTTGTGAATCATCTAACGGTTCAATAAGAGCCACTGCTTTAACCTGGTCAAATTCATTGTTATTTATATTATCATGTGATGTTCGATTAGCATGAATTCGAATATTAAGTTTCGATTGATATGGTAAACTAGCATTAAGTGATATACGTTGACCCTGTTTTTTAATAATATTTGAATCTGAAGAATAATAATTACATTCATTTTCTTGTTGAAATAAATGTTGATTAGATGAACGATGTGGACAAAGATTTGATTGTTGATCATTCCAATGAACATTACGTCCATGAGATTGATAACGTGGTATTGTATCATGAATATAAGACATATTTGCAGCTTCGTCGTCTAAATGAACACTTACGTGACGATGATTATTATTATTAATTATTGGTGGATGAAGAAAAAATTGAAGAACACTTGTTTGTGGTGATTGAGATGTTGGTTGATCAAATGGATATTCAAACGAACTTTTTGGTGTACTTGCACTTTCCGATGTTAGTGAACAACAAGATGAAGATGATCGAATTGGTACACCACTATCACGTGATGATGGAGTTGTTGTACGAAAAAATTCGTTGGGCGATTGATGAAGAACGTCAAGTTCTTGTAATTTTGTTTGTAAATCGTTAAAACGTTCTCTAAATTATTAAAAAATATTATTTAATATATTATCAAAAAAAATAATAAAATATTATCTTATTTTATTTTATCAGTGAATACATACTCAGAATCAGCATAGGAAAAAAGATTGACAAGTGTATAGAACATTTTGTTATTTGGATATATGGATGAATATGTCATTTGTGAAGAAGAAGAAGTTTTTTTTTCCGTTTTGTATCGTATTTATGAGAGACAAGAATAAGAGAACGTGTCATAAAACAATTTATGATATTTTAATGTTAGCATGTATATGTCTATGTATAATTTAATGATTATTCTATTCAAATTATGTGGTTGACTGAGCTTGAAACAAGGTCTTATAGTAAAATGAAAATGTTCAAATATATGTTTCATTTATAATGCTCATACAACATCGAAATATAAAATTAGTTTAGATTAGATTACATTTCTAAGATATTCAAATCTTGAAATATGATACCATTGAAAATGAATGGCCTTCGATCAGTTTAAGTGTGAACTGTATTTATCATCATTTCTCGTACGTGCGCGTGTGATGAACTAATTCATAAAAAGAGAGAAGGAAGAAGAAGAAGAAGAGAGAAAAAAAAAGAAGAATTTCATTTCTTAACATATATATATATATAGAAAAAAGGTCGAGTGTCTGTCTGCCCTTAACTTATATATTATTTCATGCTCTAACGAAGAAGATTTTTTTTACAAAGATGATTACTTGATAGCATCGTCCTTTCGTCGAAGTTCATTATAACGTTGATATGAATGAAAAAGTCGTTCGAATGTTGATGACCATTGTTGTTGATCATCATTTGTTGATGTTTTATTCAAGTCAATTTGCTCAATTTTATGAATGTATTTAATATCTTCTTTATTCGATGTACACATATTACTTGTTACTCTTCGTTAGTTTGTATTTCAAAAATGAATATAGTCGAATAAAAGAATGAGCAGAATAAAAAAAAACGAAAAGCGAGAGAATGGAAGAAAGACGCACCATACAACATGTATATATCTATACGTATGTACCAACTCGGGTAAAGTAAAATACACAAATATGAACAATATATTAATTCCACTATCGCTTTTATTACCCACCTGTCCGATATCGATCGATACGATTGGCGTCATTGACCCTTTTTCTCTCTCTCTCTTTTTTCTTTCATTGAAATGCGATAAGATAACAGATACATGTTCAAAAAAAAACGAAAGAACATATATCAAACAATTAGAAACTACTAAGTTTAAAAGCCTAGTATAAATTACATCATATATTTTTATGTCAAGTATCGGCATTTTCTTTATAATGATAATGCAATATATATAGATCTATATCATCATATAAACTTTAACATGTATAAATATACTTAATACGTCCTTATGCCCTACCTGTACTACTTGATTTGGTATTGTTGTTGTTGTTCTTGACGTCTTTTTTATATGTAGTTGCCGCTGTGTAAAATCGGATTATGAATATATATGTATGTATGTATGCGTGAATGTTTGCACACCTATTATAGATTTTATTTTTCTCTCTCTCTTGTTCTTGTTTGTGTCTATCAGATTCGTTGTGCTTATTTTTGCTGATAAACTTTTTAATGTACTATTTGATTTAGGAGTTTATGTACGTATGTGTGTATGTTTGTGAGTGAAGTCGTATTTGATTCAATACAGATACGCACAAAAAAAAAGAGCTAAAGCGAAGAAGCGAGAAGGAAGAAGAAGCCGACAACTTTGTTGGTTACCTATTTCGTTTCTTTTTTTTT